CACAGGGCAAGCAGAAAAGCACCAGGCAAGCAGAAGAGCAGCTTCAGCCCAGGGCAGGCTGAAGAGCAGCCTCAGCCCAGGGTGAGCAGAGGAGCAGCCTCGACACCTATGAGAACAAAGGAGTGGCACCCACGAGAACAGAGGAGCAGCCGCTGCTGGTGGTGACCGCACTTCTACAATGGAACATGGTATTTGGGGACACCTGAATCATATTTGGCTCCAGAACAAACTATCGTTTTTTCCCTTTGAGGTATGAAGTGTGTATATATATATATATTTCTTTTTGAGACAGAGTCTCCCTGTAGTCCCAACTGGCCTGGAACTCACTATGTAGAGCAGGCTGGCCTGGAACTCACAGAGTTCAAGAGTTAATCCCAGCCTCCCAAGTGCTGGGATTAAAGGTGTGTGCCACCACACCCAGTCTGAACTATATTTTTGCTTCAACAATATTCTAGTTTACCAAGAGCAAGAATTTGAACCCAGGTATCTGATTCTAAAGCCTGTACTTTTACACTCTGAGAAAATGAAGCATATTCTAGCTACAGAGTAGAAGAAATACCAGTTGGTGTAATTATTAAATTCTAAAGTTCCTTAATTTCATGACACAATTAAACACTTGAAACACTGTTATATAATATGATGTAGTATTCTTTTCATCACACTTGTGTCTATTAATCCAGTGTCTGAAGGAAGCTTTGCACAAAGCAGAACAGTTTTCTTATTGATCACAATATTGTGATCAGGAGAATATTTTATTCTTAGGAATAAATTAAAATGTCAACAGCTTTCTATGGTCATATGCATATATATAATAAACGTGTGTGTATGTGTGTGTGTGTGTGTGTTGCTCAATAAGCAGGGATATGTCCTTGTTGGGTTGTGAGCCTGAGCCTTTAAGTGCTGTGCCATCCCTGCAGCCCATGAGATACATTCTAAGAAACATGCCATCAGGCTATTGTGTAGTTATGTGAACACTATAAGTTATACTTTCCCAAGTCTAGATGGTCTAGCCTTGTTCACACCTAGGCTATGTAGTATATATATTGTATATCCCATTGTTCCTGTGGACACAATAAATAAAAGAACATGAGATTAAATCAAGGGGCTGAAGAGAGGGCTTGGCAGGTAAGAGCACTGACTACTCTTGTAGAGGACCTGGGTTCAATTCCCAGCACCCACATGGCGTCTAACAACCATCAGCAACTTCAGTTCCAAGGGCTCTGATGCCCTACTTCTGACTTCTGAGGGTACTGCATACATGCAGGCAATACATTTATACACACAAAATAAAAATCAAGCACAAGAGCAAGGTGTGGTAGGACATGCCTTTAATCTCAGCACTCAGGAGGCAGAGACTAGTGGCTCTCTGAGAGTTTGAGGCCAGCCTGGTTTCCATAGTGAATTCAGGCCAGCTGAAGTTGCCAAAACAGGAAATTCAAGATGTGTGAGGCTGCTGCTGGGATAACACAACATACTGTTTTACAATAAACCCTGGTTTATTTTTAAAAGACTTTTTATTTTTATATTATATGTATGAGTGTTTTGCTTACATATATGTATGTGCACTATGTGTGTGCCTGGTGCCCTTGAAGGTCAGACAAGGGCATCAGATCCCTGAAACCTGAGTTATGAATAGTTGAGAGTCACCATGTGGGTACTGAGAACCAAACCCAGGTCCTCTGCAAAAGCAGCTGGTGTTCTTAACTACTGAGCCATTTCTTCTATCCCCATTTTTTGTTTTGTTTGTTTTTTTAATATGAACATACTTGGGGGGAGGGGCGGGAGATATGGCTCAGCAATTAAGAGTTCTTACTATTCTTGCAGAGGACCTGGGTTGAATTCTCAGTACCCACATCAGGTGGCTCACAACTGCCTGCAACTCTATCTAGTTTGAGGAGATCCGATGCCCTCTGGCCTCTGAGGGTACCTGCATGCATGTGATGCACATAAACTCATGCAGGCACACATAAACATGAAATTTTTTTAAAAAGAGTATACTTGCTGGGTGTGGTGGCACACGCCACCTCCAGCACTTGGGAGGCAGATGCAGGAGGATCTCTATGAGTTCAAGGCCAGCCTGGTCTACATAGCAACTTCCAAAAAGAAGGGGGTGGGGCTAGAGAGATGGCTCAGAAGTTAAGAGCACTGGTTGCTCTTGCAGAAGACCCAGGTTCAATTCCCAACACCCACATGTTGGCTAACAACCATCTGTAACTCTAGTTCCAGGAGATCCAACACCCTCTTCTGACCTCCACAGGCACTGCACAACATAGGTGCATTTACACACATGTGGGCAATACACTCATACACATAAAATAAAAGTTAAAAATAACAAAAGAGTACACTTGGGGCTGGAGGGATGGCTCAGTGGTTAAAATGTTTCCTGTGTGAGTGTGAGGCCTGGAGTTCCAATCCCCAGCATCCAAGTAGTAAATGCTGGGTGGGTATGGCAGTGCCTGTAATCCTAGTGTTCAAGAGGAGGAGACAAGATATCCCAGGAACACTTCTCTGCCTGAGCAGCCATCTTCCAGTGATTCACCAAAATGTTAGCATGGTGAAACTAGAAGAGTACAGTATCATTTGGCATACTGCTGGCATTATTTTAAACAAGCAAGTTAAGGGCAGGATTCTTGCCAAGAGAGTAAATGTGAGTATTAAGCATGGTAAGCACTCTAAAGCCAAGATAGCCTCTGAAACAGGTAAAGAAAATGATCAGAAAAAAAGGAAGACAAAGAGAAAAGAACATGAGTTCAAGTGAAGTGCCAGACTGCTCCACCGAGAGAATCACACTTTGTGGCAACTGACAGTGCCTTTGCTGCTGGAGCCTATCCCTTTGAATTCACGGCTTAATTTACAAAAAGAAATAAAAGACCTAGATTGGGGGGGCGGGACTGAGAGGGAGATGGAGATGGAGAGGAAGACAGAGACGGAGACAGAGATAGAGAGAGCCAGCTGGCTAACTAGACTAGCTGAATCAGCAAGCTCTGGGTTCAAGTGAGAGACCCTGCCTCAATGTATAAGCTGGAGAGTGACAAAGCAAGACAGTGACGTCAACCTCTGGCCTCCATCCACATGCACACACGTCTCGTGAACACACATAGACACATGTACATACACCCCACACACATGCAAACAGTAAAGAATAAAGGAAGTATATATTCTAAAATATCAATAAGAAGTATAGTAAATAGGTTAGGCATGGTAGCACATCTCTTTAATCCCAGCCCTTGGGAGGCAGAGGCAGGTAGATCTCTGTGAGTTTGAGGCCAGCCTAGTCTACATAGTGAGCTCTAGGTCAGCTGGGGCTACAGGGTGACCCTGTCTCAAAAAACAGAAAGGAAGAAGAAAAAGGAAGGAAGGAAGGAAGGAAGGAAGAAAGAAAGGAAAGGGGGGATGTGAAGACAGCAGATGAGATGAAGGATCAAGAAAATGAAAAGAAATGGCTGCCACTGAAGCCCTAAATGATGGTGAAGCAGAGAAAGCCACTGACATATTCACAGATGCCATCAGCTGTGCCCTCACTTGGCCATTTGGAATGCCAAGAGAGACAGTGTCTTCATCAGCTCACAGCAGCCAGATGCCACCATTCAAGACTGACAGAGCCATTGAAATAAAGCCCAGTGCAGGTCAGTTAGGAGTTGTAAGGGAAAGCACAGAGACTCTTAGACCATTGGGAAAAAGAACCCATGCCCTTGCTTGTAAATAGGATTACACTGCCAGGCATGGTGGTGCACACCTTTAATCCCAGCACTCAGGAGGCAGAGGCAGGCAGATCTCTGTAAGTTCAAGACCAGCCTGGTCTACACAGTGAGTTCCAGGACAGCTGGGGCTACAGGGAGACCCTGTCTCAAAAAGACCAAAAAAAAAAAAAAGGGATTACACCGAGGATACTGATACAACCCTGAAAGAAGTTTAACTGAGGGCTGGAAAATTGCAGGACACTAAATGTGAAGAGTGGGAGTTCAAACAAAGGAGAGAAAGGGTTAAGAAGACTGGAGGAGAGCATGAGCAAGTCCAGAGGAAGGAGGAAGCCAAAGGACAGCGGTTCAGTAGGGCTCTTTCCAGGAGGCTTTCCTGGGGAAATGCCTAGTCATTTATTCCAAGGACTCCATGGAATAGGAAGAACATCCTGGGAATGGCAGGAATGCCTGGGATTAGTAGAATTTCTAGTGGCCCAGAAGGCTTTACAGCCATGCAGGATCTTGAAGTAAAAATGGCCTTCTAGGATATGGGTCAGAACCAGTATATAAATCAAAATATAAGGGCAACCCAGAGGTATGAATCTCATCACTAAATTGTCAGCAGGATACTTTGGAGGTCAAACTTATAAAGGCCATCTGACAAAGCCCTCAAGGAAGGAAAAGTAGCCTAGATAATTTAACAGATGTCACAATACAAACCTGTGTGCCTCAGACTTTATCAGGAGAGCTGAAAGGCTTTCAGAATAATCCCTTCCCCTGTACACCAGAGGCAGCTAAAGCACTTTACAGTGTTTGCATCTGGATATTCATTCAGATATTTTCTTACTAGGAATTACAAACTTTAAGCACTTATTAAACCTAAAATACTTTAAACTAATTAAAAGGGTGTATTAATTTCTGTATTTTTTCCTTACTAATTGGCTTAGGTGATACCTTTGGTTAAGAAAGGTAAGTATGGGTTAGAGAGATGGCTCAGTAGTTAAGAGCTCTGTCTGCTCCTGCAGAGGACCCAGATTCAGTTTCTAACACCCACATAGTGGCTAACAATCATTCATAACTTCAGTTCCAGGGGATCTGACTCCCTCTTCTGGCCTCTGTGGGCATTGCACTCTTGTGGTGCACTACTACATGTAGGCGAAACACTCATACACATATAAAATAAAAATAATAAAATATTTTCTAGAAATTAAAAAATCAAGAAAAGAATACCACAGAACTTATGGACCCCCCAACCCCAGTAGGAGGCATGCTCTATTACTGAGCCACACTTCTCATTCCTGTGGACATTTATTTTTTTACCTTGAATGTGAAATTTGCATCAAAGATGAGTTCTTTTTCATGTCCTGGGATTCCTCCATTGTAAACAACTTGGCATCTTTTGGCTGCTTCTGTCTTAGGGAGTTTGAAGAGGCGAAATGTCGCAGAAACAAAGCGACAATCACCTAAAAACAGACAGGCATGGCTCACTTCCAGCACTCCAACAGCATTCGCTTACTCAGCAGATGAGGACCAAGCATATCAGAAAGATGATTTTCTTCACTGTGGATGCCATCAATTATCTTTCTGGGACCTTCACTCTATGTACTGAATGGTTTCAAAATGCTTTGTTAACTATCAAAACTTGGGGGAGGGAGGGGGATTGCCACTATTCAGGAGATAAAATGGACGCTTCAAAGTGGCAATTTTCCTCAGGGAGAATCACCTGTTGAAACCATTCATTCAGGGTGCAGTTATAATGTTGCTGATGGTTTTTTTTTTTTCTTACCAATAAATCTTTCTAGTTCCTTGTTTTGAATTGTAATGATATTGGCAGTAACCAAACGTGGAGGGCTGAACCCAATTTTTTGAGCAAGAACATCGAGATCTTTCCAGTACAAAGCACCACCCAGGCATTCACCTTAAAAAAAAAAAAAACACAGACCAGTCAACACAAAAGCAGTGTTAAGTACATCAATACTCTGCATAATTAATTAGGACACAATATTAAAGTATAGATAGGGCCTAGCTGGGCATGGTGGTGCACACATGTAACCCCAGCACTTAGAAGATAGAGGCAAGAAGATCAGGAGTTCAAGATCATCCTTGGTTACATGGTGAGTTTGAAACCCTGTCTCAAAAAAACAAGCAAGAATAACAACAAAAACAAGGGCTCAGGATGTAGCTCAGTTGGTAGAGTGCTCGCCTAACATTTGATTTGATACCTAGCACCACATAAAAACAAATGTGGTGGCACATATCTGCAATCCCAGACCTTGGGAGGTAGAAACAAGGGTTCAAGCCATAACCACAAGGGACCTTGTCTCAAAACAAAACAAAAATTTTAAATATATTAATAATGGTGATATTAAATTTCAAACAAAAACTACAACAAGAGACATAGGACCTAGAAATAGATGCTTACCTGGATATACCTAAAAGCCCTAGAAAGTGATAGCTGAACCCAGATTTTGTTAGCTAATGATCTCTGGAAACTATTTTTAGGACAGTTACTAATATATTGGTTCTACTCAGATGCAATCATAATATTCTTGCATGATTATTTGTTTGTTTTTGGTTTTGAGATAAGGTCTCAACTGTGTGGCCCTGGCTAGTCTGAAACTCACTATGTATCAGGCTGACGTGGAACCCAAAGGGGTCCATGTACTTCTGTCTCCCAAGTACTGGGATTTAAAGGCCTGCATCGCCATGCCTGGCCATGTGCATTTTAGATCACACTGAAAAGTGCTGTTATAAGATTAAAATCGTATTAAAATTGCCTCTTAGGGGCTGAAGAGATGTTTCAGTGGTTAACAGCACTGGCTACTCTTGTAAAGGACCTGGGTATAAAATACTTAAAACTGCCTCTTAGCTCCAAGCCAATCTTATAATGATCTACAATTAGAATAAAACTACTAATTCATAAGGCATTTAAAAAGTATTTTATTTATTACTTTTATTTTATGTGTATAAGTGTTTGCCTGCATGTAAGTACACCCATGCTGTGCAGTGACTGCAGAAGTCAGAAGAGAGGTTTGGATTCCCCTGGAACTTGAATTGTTAGCCATCATATGGGTACTGGGAACCAAACCTGGGTCCTCTGGAAAAGCAACCAGTGCTCTTAGCCACTGAGCCATCTCTCCAGCCCCTCATAAAGGATTTTTATAGATTCTTTTCAAATATAAAGACATTCATAGAAGTTTTATTTATTACATCGATAAGTTGTAAACAGACTAAATAGTCACCAGTAAACAAACAGTTAAAGCATGATACAGCCAAGCAACACAGTTGTGTGATACTGTGTTTAAAAAATGCTTGGGCTTAGCAAATATAAGTTTTGGGTATTTAAATTTTTTACATATTTATTTGTCTGGTGTGTGTGTATGCGCACGCGCGCACGTGCGTGCCACAGCACACATGTGGAGGTCATAGGGTCAGAGGACAATTTATAGGAGTCACTTTTTCCCGTGTGGGTTCCGGGGTTCAAACTCAGGTCATCAGGCTTGACAACAAGTGTCTTTAGACCTACTGAGACATGGTACCTGCTTTTTAAGAAGCTTTTATCTATTATTATTGGGGAGGGCACACATACCATGACCTACGTGGGGAGGGCACACATACCATGACATACATGGGAAGGCACACAAACCATGACATATGTGGGGAGGCACACATACCATGACCTACATGGGGAGGCACACATACCATGACATACGTGGGGAGGCACACATACCATGTCATATGTGGGGAGGTCAGAAGTCAATTTTGTGGAGTCAGTTCTCTCTTTCCATCTTTGTATGGGTTCTAGGGATTGACCTCAGGTCACTGGGCTTTTGTGGCAAGTGTCTTTACCTGCTAAGCCATCGCACCAGCCCTATTTTCCTACTTTTTTTTTTTTAACATCAGATAGAGCTAATTAAGATCTTCATGTTCAGTCAGCATTTGCTTATCATCATGCAGTATTTTCCTACTTTTTAACATTGCCCATTTATATTTTGAATAATAAGAAAAAAACACAGTTTATTTTTTAAATAAGATTTTTTTTTTTTGAGGGGCTGGAGAAATGGCTCATTGGTTAAGAGCACTGACTGCTCTTGCAAAGGACCCAGGTTCAAATCCCAGCACCCACATGCCAGCTACAAACTGCCCTTAACTCCAGTTTCAGGGGAATCCAAAGCCCTCTTCTGACCTCCGCGGCATTGCACAACGCGGGTGCACTCACATACATGCACGCAATACATTCAAACGCATAAAATAAAAATAATAAATAAAATATTAAAAAATAATAATAAATTTTTTAAAGATTCTTGTTTTGCCAGGCGTAGTGGTGCTCGCCTTTAATTCCAGCACTCAGGAGGCAGAGGCAGGCAGATCTCTGTGAGTTCGAGGCCAGCCTGGTCTACATAAGTGAGTTCCAAGACAGCTGGGGCTACAGGGAGACCCTGTCTCAAAAAGACAAAAATTAAAAGAGATTCTTGTTTTGAGACAGAATCTAACTGTGCAGCCCATGCCAGCCTTGAATGTGCATCAACCCTGCTTCCACTGCCCAAGAGTTGGACTCACAGGCAGTGCCATCACACCCAGCTTATGCAAAATCGTCTAACTCTGTAGTCAGACTGATCAGAAGCAGGCATTTTTCTCCTTGCTATCTAGAGACTCTTAAATGACAGTAAAGGAATGTTCATTATCCCATTTGCTCTTCAAAACAGGTTTTAGCCGGGCATGGTAAAACACGCCTTTAATCCTAGCATTCAGGAGACAGAAGCTGATGATCTCTGTGAGTTCAACTCCAGCTGGTCTACATAGCAAGTTAGAGACCCTGTCTCAAAAACAAAACAAGACAGTTTTGTTTTGTTTTGCTTTTTGTCTTTTTTGAGATAGGGTCTCCCAGTAGCCCCAGCTGGTCTGGAACTCACTCTGTAGACCAGGCTGGCCTCGAACTCACAGAGATCTGCCTGCCTCTGTCTCCAGGGTGCTGGGATTAAAGACATGTGCCACCACGCCCAGCAAAACAAAACAGTTTTTAAAGTAGATTGTATTATCATTTTCACTTTACACTCTGAAAAATAATAACTTAGATTAATTAAATTGCCCAAGAACATATCACTTTTTTTAAAGTATTTTTTATGTGTGTGTGTGTGTGTGTGTGTGCATGCGTGTAGACATGTGTGCTCAGGTCAGTGGACAACTTTGTGACATCAGTTCTCTCCTTCTATCTTTATAAAGTTCCAGTGATCAAACTCCGGTTGACAGGCTTGAGGCACAAGCCCTTTTTTCGGCTAAGCTATCTCACCAGTCCTCATATTGCTTTTGAGCAGCAGAATAGAACCTCAGACTCCTGGCCTTACACTATGTGCTCTCCTATCCAATGGTCTCATCCTGACTTACTACCAGGATGGAGATCTACATATAATCATCTGTCTTCAAATGAATAAAATAAGAACACATACCCCATAAAACCTTGTGTGTCTTGATATCTTCTGGCAATTCAAGGCTAGCATAGACGTCACTGAAATAGAGCTCCCCACCATGCTGAAACAGAGCAGTGCAAGTCCAAGCAAGGTTAAAGATTACATTGTTTTCAGATAAGAACAACAACAACAAAATGGATGAGTACAAGAGATGAATTTCAAAATCCCATGTAAGTGTTTGATCAGACATAGACCAAGCTGACCTTTGAAGAAATAATGGTTGCTGGGCTGGAGAGATGGCTCAGAGGTTAAGAACACTGACTGTTCTTGCAGAAGACTGGGGTTCGAATCCCAGCCCCCACATGGTAGCTAACAACTGACCATAACTCCAGTCCCAGGGGATCAGACAGCCTCTTCTGTCTTCTGTGGGCATTGCACAACATGGCTGCACTTACCTACATGCAGGCAGTACACGCATACACATAAAATAAAATATTTTAAAAAAGAAATAATAGTTGCCTCCCTGTACAATCAATACCCAAAGGACAGAAATCTTTTGGTTTGGAGTTTTGGTTTATTTGGTGCCCTATCCAACAGATAATAAAACTGTTTTCTAAAATGGGAAAGGAGGAGGATGCTATAGGGAGTTGGGAAACACAAAAGAGAATAAGGAGAGTAAAGGCCACCTGAGTGGATTGTTTGCACCTATGACATAAAGAGGGAGTTGAATAGATGATGCAGTGGGTAACATGTTTGCCATGTGAGCATGAGGAACTGCTGAGTTCACAGCCCCAGCATCCACAAATCCAGGCGTGTCTATAACCCCAGCTCTGGTGGGGCACTGGAGACAGGTAGTTCCCTGGAGCTCATTGGCCGGCCAACTTAGCCAAACTGGTGAGCTCCCGGTTCAGTGAGAGACTCTGTCTCAAAACCTAAGGTAGAGGATCACTAAGGAAAACACCTGATGTCACCTTCTGGCCTCCATGTACGCACACACACATATGTGCATACACATCAATACGTGCACACACACCACACACAAACAAATATGATGATGAAACTCATTATTTTGTACAAATAGTATATGCTAATAAAAATAAGAAAACATAGAAAAGAAAGTATGTCTCTCCTCAATATATTTAGGTTGCCTAAATTTTTAACCAATCCTAACAGAGCACAGCCCCAGATGGCTGAATAACTAACAGATGATATGAATAGTATTAGCAGACTCTTAACCCTTGAAAAGTATATAACTTTTTGTAATGTTATTACACATTATATTCTTTTTAAAATTTTTTATTTATTATTTTTATTTTATGTGTATGAGTGTATGTAAGTGCACCCATGTTGTGCAATGCCCACAGAGGTTAGATCATATACCCATATGGCTATGGACAGTTGTGAGTCACCATGTGGATGCTGGGAACTGAACCCAGGTCCTCTGAAAGAGCAGTCAGTGCTCTTAACCAGCATGCCATCTCTCCAGTTCCCATATTATATTCTTAAAATATTCTTAGAATCAAGGGCAAAGGAGTTATCAGGAATTCAAGATTTTATTTGTCTAATTTCAAAAAGCATGGAAGTCTATGTTCTACAATATGTCATCTCCATGGATGGAGTGAGCTGGCCTATACAATGGCATACTGCAAAGACATGAGATCATATATACAGACATACTCTTTACTTAAATATTTTATTTATTTTGTGTGTATGAGTGTTTACCTGCATGTGTATAAGTGCGCCATGTGTGTGCATTACCCACAGAGGACAGAAGAGGGCATCAGATCCCCTGGAACTATATTAGCAGTTGTTAGCTGCCATGTGGGTACTGGGAACCCAACCTGGTCCTCTGCAAGAGCAGCCAGTGCTCTTAACCAATGAGTCATCTCTCTAGGCCCTGCTACATAGATACTTTTAGAGAGCACTTTGATGGGGGGGAAAAATTTTTTTTTTTTTTTTTTTTTTTTTTTGCAGTGCTAGAGATTGAGGCTTGTGCATGTTAATCGCATGTTCTACCACTAAGCTGTACCCTCAGCCCTGCAATCTCTTTATGCTGTTTTCCAGCATAAAGAGACACATCCCATAATACACAGGAAGGCTGTGATGTTCCTGAAAGTTTTCCTTTGAGAAAGGCATTAATATAAAATTTCCACCTTTAACTTTCCAAAGACCTGAAATCTTGGCACATAAAATACAGAAGCTCTTTGCTGGCTGTGGTGGTACACGCCTTTAATCCCAGCACCCAGGACACAGAAGCAGGTGAATTTCCATGAGATAGAGTCCAGCCTGGTCTACATAGTGAGCTCCAGGCCAGCCAGGGATAATTCTGTCTCAAAAGCAAACAAACCAAAAGCAATAGTAGCTTTGAGAAACACGGTCTGTTCTAGAATACAAAATATGCACAGTCATCTCATGGTGAGTTCAAAAGTTCCTGCACTTTGCACATGTTATCTGAGGATAAAGAGTAGCCATGAGCAACAGGTAATAGGACAAACATTTTTAACATCTTGTGACTTGTGAATGTAAAGCCTTTTGTCACCTGACAGAGAAAAAAAGTCATATCCGGGGTATTTGGGCCACTTCCTTTTTTTCAATTTTTTTTGTTTGATTTTTTTAAAAATATAACAGTTTATGGGCTGGAGAGATGGCTCAGTGGTTAAGAACACTGGTTGTTCTTGCAGAGGACCTGGGTTCAAATCCCAGCACCCACATGGCAGCTAACAACTGTCCATAACTCCAGTTCCAGGGGATCCAGCAGCATCTTCTGTCCTCCACAGGGATTGTGTAGGGTGCAGTTACCTACACATCAGGCAATACACACATACACATTAAAAAAATAAAAATAATAAAATATGAAAAAGAATTTTTAAAATATAACAGCTTATTAATTCTTTGAGAATTTCATATATGCATAAAATGATATTCAGCACCCCCCACTTTCCCAAAACTAACTCCTCCTGGAACCATCCCTTACCCCTTTATTCTCCCTCCCAACTTCATATCTATTCTTTATAACCTACTAAGTCTGATTCGTGTTGCCCATATATCAATGGATGTGGGGCCACCCATGGAACATGGTCAACTACCAAGGGTCACAGCTGCCCTAGCAGCTATCAGCTATCAATAGATCCTCAGCTAGGGTGAACCCCTCCCCTCCCCATTTTTAAAAAATATTTTATTTTGGGGCTGGAGGAATGGCTCCGAGGTTGAGAGCACTGACTGCTCTTGCAGAGGACCCGGTTCATTTCCCAGCACCCACACAGATGCTACAAACTGTCCTTAACTCCAGTTCAGGGGAATCTGACGCCCTCTTCTGATCTCTGTGGCATTGCACAACACAGGTGCACATTTTATTTTTATTATTTTTATGTGTATGAGTGTATTGCCTTCATTCATGCAAGCATACTTGTGTCGTGCAGTGCCTGTGGAGGTCAGAAGAGGGGATTGGGCCCCCTAGAACTGGAGTTACAGATGGCCATTAGCCACCAGGTGGGTGCTGGGAATTGAACTGGGGTCCTCTGCAAGAGCATCCAGTGCTCTTAACTGCTGCGCTATCTCTCTATCCCCCTACCCATACTTTTGAGACAGTATCTCACATAGTTCAGGTTGGTCTTGAAATCCCTATGTAGGAAAGTGGTCTTAAATTCCTGATCTTCCACCACACCTAGTTTGCAGCCTTTTATTTGGTGGATAAATGAGGAGTTTGAACCTTTAGTTAGAAGAGAAAAGGGAGTAACCGATCCCACCAGCCCTCCCTCATTGGAGCCTAAAGATCATTCATCTCCCTCTTCGCTCACCTTCAGCACTTTATATACCTCCTGCAGCACTTGCTGTTTATCAGGCACAAGGTTAATAACACAATTTGATCTAAAAAAAAAAAAAAAAGATGTTAAAGGACTGAGTCTTGAAAGGTGCTCCTTCCATTTTGTCAAAACTACACCACCCTTCCTGACTCTCCTCTCCTTCCTCACTCTCAACTGTTTCCCAAGATAAAGGAGATAAGTAAATTATTTAAAATCTCAGTAAACGTGTTAGTAAGAATAAATACAAGGCATGACTCTTATGACAAGATGATGAAACTGGGATCAGATGCTTACGGTACAAAGTGTCGAAGCTACACATATGTAGAGTTCCTAAGGCAGCTCTGCTAACACTCAGTAATAGAGTGCTCGCCTAGGGTTCAGTTCCCAGAACCAAAAGAAAAGATGGGAGGAAAGAAAAAGATTCAGCCTCATGCTCACTTGGGCATGATTTCACAATGACTTAGAAAAATGTGAAACACAAAATCTTATAATTTGCCATGAAAAGAATGCAGTTATAAGCTGGATAACATATCACCTGAGGACAGACCACATACATGATGGTGGCCTCTTGAGATTGTAATGGAGCTGAGCGATTCCTATTGCTTAGGGACACAATAGCCAAAGCAACAAGATAACATATTATTCATGTATATGTGACAGTGCTGGAGTCAACTTAGTACTGTGCTACCAGTTGTATAAAAGCAGGGTGCGGGGGCAGGTGCCTTTAATCCTAGCACTCTGAGGCAGAGGCAGGTGGATCTACATAACAAGTTCCAGGCCAGCTGGGGCTACAAGGACACTGTGTCTAAAAAAAAAGGAAAAAAGTATAGCAAATCTGATAACACAGTGTACGATACTTGATGATAATGAACAATGATGCCACTGCTTTATGTATTTGCCATACTTGCATCATTTTACTCCTGCTTATAATGAAAAGTACTGTAGTGTTGTGTGATGGCACACACCTTTAATCCCAGCATTTGGGAGGCAGAGGCAAGTGGATCTCTGTGAGTTCAAGGCCAGCTTGGTCTACATAGAGAGTTCCATCCCAGCTTGGGCTACAGGGAGACCCTGTATCAAAAAGACCAACAAAAAAAAGCAAAAAAGCACTGTGAAACAGCCTGCCGTGTTCTGTCAACAGCAGTTTCACACATCTCAAATGGTTACTGCAGCTCTGAATGCCTTATGTCTTGTGTTTGATTTAATCTGGCCCTAGAATCAATAGGCTGGCTATTCCATGAATACAAAATAGTCTGGGTGTGTAGTAGGCTCTATCATCAAAGTTTGGGTAAGTGTGCTCTGATGTGTGTGCTGTAAGGAAATCTACCCAATACACATTTCTCACAATTGGTGCCTGTAGTTGATTAACCCATGATTATATTAAAGATAATAGGTCGGGATGTGTTATGGGAGCACATTCTGTGGTCTGGCTGGTTTGGGGAATTCACTGGCTTATTGTTGGGCTGGCAGGCATGGCCAACATTTTTATATTGCAATGCGGAATTATCATCTACTAAGCTCACACTGGAGAACTGTGTAACTGAGTTACCCAAAACATCGCATAATATTTTATGTAAGTTTATGATTTTGTGTTGGGCTATATTCATAGTTATCCTCAGTCACTTGATTGAGCCACAATGTAGGCATGCCTGGCAAATTAAATTCTCTCCTGGGCTGCTGTATTCTGCTGCCAGGTCCCTTCCTTTATGATGCCATGTTTAGTTTAACTTCCTAAATGAGAATCAGTGCAGCAAAAGTGGTAACATTTCTGTGTTCACAATGAAACAGGTTTTCCACCAAGGATGTAGCCCTACATAGCGATATCGTAGCTCTCGTTCTGGATTCCGGCCTCTGCCAACTTCTCAAGGCAGCCATGAAGAAAAGTCACATTGGGCACCTGGAAACCAAATTTTTCCATGTGGTAGTCAAGATGGTTTTGAGCCACTTCCACCTAAAGGAAGAAAAATACAGATCTGATAATATTTTTCCAAAAATATACTTTTAAAAATTATTTATTTCTATTTTATCTGTGTATGCTGCCTGCATGTATGTAAGTACATCCATGTGTCAGAAGTCAGAAGTGGGCATCAGATCCCTTGGAACTGGAGTTATGGGACAGTTGTTAGCTGAAAAACCCTTTAACTGATGATAAAATAAGGGCAGATACTGAAGGAAGAAAATGAAGCTCCCACATTGGGTCATCATTAGGATATGCTATGATGTCTACCAGATTAAATTTATCTACTCATCTACCAGGTTAAACCTCTGACCCAGTCCTCCAGGCAATGGTCATTAATGGTAAAAGTTCTCAGCTTCTAGGTCACCAAAGGCACAAATAACAGCTGCTCAACATCAGCCTTCTTAAACTACCATGAAGAAAACCAAGAAACAATGTCAATGCTCAAAGAATGCCAGGAGAAATTTCTCCTCCTCTTCCTCCAAGCCTTTGCCTTACCTGGCTCTTGGTCATGTCTATTCCAGTGACACGCCCCTTCTCACCAACCAGCTGACTAAGCGCATAGCAATCTCTGCCACTTCCACTACCCAGATCCAAAATCCAGCAGTTTTCCAGACGCTCAGGGATAACCAAACCACAGCCATAATACCTGAGAAATGGAAAGTATATATTTTTCCATTGAGAATTAGAAAAATACTGATTTTTATACTTCCCTCCCTCCTTTCCCCCCATCATTCTTTTGTTTGTTTTTTGTTTTTTGAGACAGGGTCTCACTACATGGCCCTGGCTGGCCTGGAACTCACTACTATGTAGACCAGGCTGGCCTCAAACTCACAGAGATCTGCCTACCTCTGTTTCTGTCTTCAGGTATAAGATTTAAATAAGCCATCTAATATATTTGCTGAATAAATAGATTAAAGCATTAGCTGCTGAACAGTTCAAGCTCAGAACTGTGTTGATTACTGAGAAAACATTTTCTGTCTTCTGGGTGCATTTACTCTAATTGGAGTATTAAATATCAGAGCAGAGAAAAAACTTTTCCATGGTTTATTAACAAACTGAGTGCACTAGGGTGGAAGTGCTGTAGTAGTTTGGGGAAGAAAGCTTCATGAAGTGGCTAGCACCTCAGGGAGGTGTGGGAGGGGTTGGGGGGAAGGTATCCATATTGACAACTGCTCTCTGGGCAGGCAATTCTACAGCAGAAGGAAGCAAAGCTGCTTAGAAAAGGAGGGTCCAATTGTGAACAGTCTAGAATGTCAGGTCAAGGTCTAAGGAATGTGACTGTATCCTTGTATATGGATGGAGAGCATCACTGGAGGGTCTTCAGCAGAGGAGCAACCTCAGTGTTGAGCTTTGAGAGTTTGACAGTAGACATGGCTGGTAAGGTGGCTAACCTCCCTAGTGACCAGAATCATCCATGGAGACACCTGGGTCTGGAGGCTTCGTGGGGACAGTACACACACTCTACCTGGAAGTAACTTCTTCATGAACATTCTGCAAGGCCTCCCGGATGTACTTGGGGACTGGCTTGGCTGGGGTGACACAAGCATTAGTCTTGAGGTCTGCATTTGTCTTCAGGACCTTCCCATAGTAGTTCTGACTCAGCAGCCAAGGACAGAAGAGCCATGAGAAAAAAAAGAGCTGGAATCACTGCATCACTGGCCTTTGCTTGGCTCTAAACCTACGCCCCGCCACGCCCCAGGGTCCTCAGGTGCAGAAGTGCTGGCTGGCAGGATTCCTGTAGGCCTGCGGCTCCCTAGCAGCCAAAGCTCTCTTAGACCATCCCAGGCCCAGGGACTCTCACCTGCACATCCTCCTGGATCTCAGCGTCCCGGGGACGACCACTGCCAAGAGGGAAAAAGGAGGTTGAAAAGGGGTGACCTGCTCGGAGAGGGAAGAGGCTGGAGGGAAGGCGGCACTGGGGGTGGGGGTAGGAGGGTGCCAAACCCTTCAGAGAAGCGGGGTGCTCAGCTCCCGCCAAGGCGAGGGAAGGTGCTATGGGTCTGTGCTGCAGGCAGAGGTCAAAAGGGAAACTGGCCGGAAGGCAAGGAACCCGCACTCACTGACTCACGGCTTCCATGTCCTGGACCCCCGGTTCGCCTGCATATGGAGTCTTGGGCCCAGGCTCCGCCTAGCGGCAGACCGATCAGAACCGCCTGTGTCTCCCTGCACCCACCCCCACCAGTCCACACAAGGCCTGGCCCGCAGCCAGTTAGGCCCTTTGCCACCTTGGTTACCTTGGGTCCCTGCAGCCTCGAGAATAGCTGTCTGCTCGTTACCAGCTTCCTTTATTGACGCACTGTTTCATTCATAAATTTTGTATGCTACCTTAAACATCCACATACACAATTTTTCTCTTTTTAGAATGTGATCCGTTTTTCTCGAGTTGTCTTATAAAGTCAGGTTTATTGAGGTATCATTTACACCAGTAACATTCACTTTTGGTTAACATAGTTATGTGATTTTTTTTGACATACGTGGCACAGCCAAGATTTAAATGGTTTTCTCCTCCAGAAAGTTTGTGTGGGCCCCTGGGTAGTAAATTCCTTCCTCCCACTCTCAGGTCCCTGGAAAACACAGGCCTGTTCACCAACCTATAGTTGTCTTCTCCAGAACTGCATATACACGAACTCTGAAGGCAGCCATTCTGCTAGAATTGGACTTAGGAAAGCAACTCTGCTTTCACCTGTAATCATTTATCAATTCACAGGTATTTTTCAGGTATTATCCCTCACCTTGCAGAATGTATTTTTAACTTTTTTATATTACATCTTTGTGTTATGGATGTGTGTGTGTGCATACACACACTTATGCATGTGAATGCTAGCCCACACATGCCACAGAATATATATAGAGGTCAGTGGACATTTCAGGAGTCAGTTCTCTCCCTCCACAGTGGGTTCTGGAGAGTTAACATCAGGTTTCTGCACCAAGTGCTTCTACCTGCTGAGCCACCTCAACTTCCCCAATATTTGTAGCTCTTACTTGCATTTGAGGTTGAAACAAACATTGTCATTCATCAAGATAAGGAGATAGAGGTCTAAGTGAAAAGGTAAATAGAAAAAGTGGACTCAATGAAATTACCCTTCATTTTGTCAATTCCATTAGCCAATACACAAAATGTTGTTGAAATCCAGCTAGTAAATTTCCAAATTCCCTGTTTTCAATTGTTATTAAAAGTTAGTAAGAGAGCCAGGCGTGGTGGTGCACACCTTTAATCCCAGCACTCGGGAGGCAGAGGCAGGCGGATCCTCTGTGAGTTCGAGGCCAGCCTGGTCTACATAGTGAGTTCCAGGACAGCTGGGGCTACAGGGAGACCCTGTCTCAAAAAGACCAGAAAAAAAAAAAAAGTTAATAAGAGATAAACTGTAGAAAAAAACAAAGAGAAATCAAACTGATACTGACTTCAAAGCTCCGTCTCTACTGGCTAACTTTACAGTGCTGAAAGGTGCTCTGCATACACCTGAAGAGAAGAAAATCAATCATCAACCTTACCCAGCTGTGAATCCTGTGAACTACAACAACTGGACTTGCGAGATATGCTCTCTGGTGCAAGAGTGGCACAAACATTATGGGAATATATATATCCATACATATATACAGAGTACATGAAATTGGGCAGGAGGTAGCAAGGGGGTGCAGCTAGGGGAGGGGATCTGAATACAATAAAAATGTATAAAATTTTAAAAGATTCAATAAAAAAGGAAAAAATTGTTAATAAAGAAATGGTTAGATGGCTCAGCAGGTAAGGGCACCTGCCGCCAATCCTTCAGACCAGAGTTCCATCCCCAGGATCTACATGGTAGGAGAGAAGCAATTTCCACATTTTGGTCATAGTGAGATACCTTGTGCACACATGTGCATGAATAAATAAGTGTGACATTTTTTAAAATAGGTTTAAAAAGAAAACCCACAGAAACAATCCTTAATGAAATACTTTTCGATTAGAACATTTCTAACTACTGGGTGTGTAAAAAAATTGACCAAATCACTTAGTTTTTAACAATCCTATGAAAGAGAAAACCTTCCTATCACTTTTCAAACTGTTCTCTCCATAAAATGAGTTCTTTGAACCAAGCGGTTACTTTCTCCCTTTTAAGGTGGAAGCTTTCTCTCAGTGGGAGAGTAAGGAGGGGCGGCTGTCATTTCCACCTGTGCTTGTTTTATTCTACTGTCCTCAGTATGGCTTGTTCACAAGAATCACTTGATAATCCCAAACTCACTTAACCACACACAGATTAATCAGCAAAATATTGCCAACTGTAGTTACTGCCACTTTGCTAGGCCTTTCAAAAAATATTTTTATTTCTTTGAGAATGCCATGCCATGTGTTTAGATCATGTTCACACACCCCTACTCATCCTGTTACTGCCACTCTTCCCTCCTCATATCTAGTTTGCTTGGCTGATTTTGAACCAGGTTGTGACCATCACTCGTTCTCATGAGTCACTGTCTCAACTACCATAGATCTGTTTTATTCTGGCTTTGGGATTGTTTCTCAGTGTTCAAGATTGATCCCTGGGTCTCATGAATGCTGGGCAACCACCACCAAGGTGGTTTGGTGTTTGTTTGACTACCACCTCTGCTAAATACTAAATATCTCTGCACTATATAAACCAGACTAGAGCTCTTCTATCAAGCTTTATCTTAAACCTTAGTAAAACCTAATTTTTAAAATTTATTTATTTATTTATTTTGGAGTCAGGGTCTCCATGTAGCCCCAGCTAACCTGGAACACTCCATGTAAACCAGGCTGGCCTTGATCTCACAGAGCCCTGCCTGTCTCAGCCTCACGAGTGCTGGGACATGCCACCACACCTGGCTCAAAACCTAATTGTTTAAGGGGAGGCATGGCTGAAGAAGATTCTTGTCTCAAAGTCAGCATTTACTGTGGCTAACCTTGAACTACTGATCTTCCTGCCTCCAGTTCCCAAGTACTGGGATTACAGATATATATTACCACTTCAGTATTAAAGATCAAAAAAAAAAAAAGAAAGCGTGGCAATTTTCTTACTTTCTTCCCTTATCTCCAAGTCGTGAAAATACTGCCACACAATACATTTGAGAAACTACTGGTCTGGCAATTGCCAATGGTTCAGGAAGGCAGACTTTGGTTAAGTACCTTTGTTTCAAGAAGTAAAGCTTTCAGGCCAGAAAGATGACTCATGGGGGGGCACTTGCCACCAAGTCTGAGTTCAATCCCCATGATCCACTAATGGAAGGAGAAAGTGGGCTCCCTTAAGTTGTCCTTTGATCTCCATGAATGTGCCCACATGAAAAGGAAAATTATTCCTCTACAATGTTTTACAGTTATTCTTTGAACTGTTTAAATCTTCTTATACAACTAGCTACTTTATGTTACATAGTCTTCTATCTAGTCATATACACACATATACATATGTATAGCCTTATGTTTTCCTTCTCTGTACTGCTCCTTACTATTTACATTAAGGAAGGAAAAAGCAGAAAGGAGAGCCTGCCACAGTGATCTAGTAGGACATCTATTTGCAATTATTTTGACCCAGCAATATATCACCTTGCTGAGGATGTCTTAACCCTTGCCCACAACATATGCCTTTACAATCTAATTTTGAGCACAAAACCACCCTTTGTGATTGCCTTGAGAGTGTTGCTTTGAGAAATGCTTCTTTGCGGTTATCCTGAGAAAACAGCTACCTGCAACCAATCTTGTCTTAGCTTTTGTTCACAACCCTCACTTCTGTAAACTTGCTTTGAAATTCCTTTTGGTGACCTGAAGACAATCTGCTGTAATTCATGTAAACAAAGCAAAAGTCCTATATAAACCTATGTGATCTGTGGATGAGGACCAAAACTTCAAAGTCTGAACTTATCTGGGACTGCATTAAATAAAATGGTGAGCTCTCCAACTCTTTGGATGGAGTGCTTGATTTTTCCACTGCCTGATTTTCTGTAACACAGACATACATATACATTAAATAAATGTAATGAAAGCATTTTTAAATTTAAAAAGTAGAACCTTCCAATGTAGGCAGCATCCTTAAGCAGAAAGTTATTGAAAGCATTGAGAAGCTTAATGGCCAGCTAGACTATTGCTGCCAGAGATGCAGCAGGGGTAAACCAGTTGCCTGAAACTATTTCCAAGCTCCTCCCTTTTAATGTGCTTTTCATCATGCTAAAGACTAGAAATGGGGCTGGGCATGGTGGTGTGTGCCTTTAATCCCATTGCTTGGGAGACAGAGAGGTAGATCTCCATGAGATCGAGGCCAGCCTGGACTACATAGCAAGTTCCAGCCCAGCACAAAGAGACCCTGTCTCAAAAAGAAAAACAAAACAACAAATTAGAAATGGAAATGGCAGGTGACTCACTCATTCCTATTTATAAGGGAAGAAGTAATAGACAGCTAGACTCATAGCTCAGTGACCTGACCCTAGGTAAGTCAGTTTAGCTCCCTGCATATGTAAAACATGGGGCCAGAATACAACAGCTGTTTAAGGCCCTTTAATTTTCTGAGATTCTCTGACTTTTCTCCACGAAACAGTACAGTACTTGCCTGGGATGCATGAAGTCTTGTGTTCAAATCTCCATAACCAGGAAACAAATAAAAAGTAACAGCATCTTTTAGAAAGAATATTTTAAAATTTTATTGTGTGTATGCGCACATAAAACTTGCATCATCGTTATTATGAGATATAAAATGTATTTATCAAATCTGTAATCATTATGCCAAAAAATCTGAATTACTGTAATATTTTGTATATTGTTAAAACTGTAACTTTAATTGTAAAAAAAAAAAAATTTAAAAAAAAAAAACTTGCAGGAGTCAGTTCTCTCTGCGTGGGTCCTAGGGATCAAATGCAAGTCATCAGGCTTGCTACTGAGCCATCTCGCCAGCCATAGAAAGATGGGGTGTTTTTAGCTTTATTTGAAATTGCTGAATCTTAAATTTTGCATATATTTCAGTGATAAAAAGACATTATTTCTTATTAATGTTATGTATTTTCTATTACATCAATTTTGTGACTCTGTAATTACTATTTCTCTATTCAATTTTCCTAAGAATATGATTTAAAAATCAATACCCATAAATACAAGTTGCCTAAATTTTGTTGTATTATCTTGCTTTTTATCTTTTAAAATGAAAATCACATTTGTATTAGCAAATGGTGTCTTAATGATCATTTTTTACATGTTGGGAGGACATGGAAAGGATCTATTTGACAGTTTGGGAAAGTCACAGGAACACGATCACAAACAAATGTCATTTTAATTGTCTTCTTTGGAATTTTGTGGATTCTTTCTCATAATCAATCTATATTCATTTTGTTTTGTAATGTCACACCTTAAGGTGACAGAAATGTTTACATTAATCAAATTTTTACCATCAAGCTCAGAGATAATTCTTTTCAAATCTATTTCATTTTTTAAAAGATTTTATTTAATTTTATGTATCGGTGTTTTGCCTGCATATATGTCTGTGCACCAAGTGTACAGAGCCTGTAGAGGCCAGAAGAGGGCCTTGGATCCTCTGGAGCTGGAGTTATGGGTGGCTGTTAGCCATTATGAGGGTGCTGGGAACCAAACTTGGTTCCTCTGCAAGAGCAGCAAGTGTTCCTAAGAACTGAGTCATCTCTCCAGGCACTCTAATTTTATATATCTCATTATACTTTACCATTTTTCTTGTTTTATTTTGTTTTTGAGACAGGTCTCACTATGTAGCCCTGGCTAACCTGGCACTTGCTATGTAGAGCAGGCTGGCCTTGAACTCACAGATTCTCCTGCCTCTGTCTCCTGAGTGCTGGGATTAAAAACATGCACCAACACATCCAGTCACACTTTACCAATTTAATCTATAACAACTACTTAATGGTTATATATTTTTTCTAATTTGGGTTATCTGTGCTTAATTATTTCCACTCTTGTTTTCTTTCCAAATCCTATCTACATACTCCTTAAAATTTTTATTTTCACTTAAAAAAAAAATTGAGTGCATTGCCTGCATGTGTATAAGTGTGCCTGTGTCATGCAATGCCCTTGGAGGTCAGAAGAGGGCGTTGGATTCCTCTGGAACTGGAATGCAGATGGTGTTAACCGCCAAGTGGGTGCTGGGAATTGAACCCGGGTCCTCTGCAAGAGCAGCCAGTGCTCTTAACTGTCGAGTCATCTCTCCAGTCCCTTATTTCAACTCTTATTCCTAACATGCATTTTTCTGAGGCTGGCCTCAAACTTGAGATCTTCATATCTCAGCCTCCTAAGTAGCTGAGATTGCAGGTGTACGTTACTGCACCTAACCCTAAAACAAGGATTTGAAAACATGACTGTTTTAAAGAATAGCACTGTTACCACCAGGTAAATTGTCTTGCATGAATTTTCATTTTATTTGAGGAATATCAACTTTGGCATATCCTCTATAACATGGATCTCAATGAAATATTTTTAAAAGATATTATTTTTACTTATGTGTGTCTCTGTGTATATGCCACATGTATGTGGGTGCCTGTGGAAGCCTAAATAGATGGTTGGATCCCTTGGAGCTGGAGTTACAAGTGGTTGTGAGTCATCTGCCGTGAGTGCTGGGAACCAAACTCCAGTCCTCTGAAAGAACAGCCAGTGTTCTTAACCCGTGAACCATCTTTCCAGCCCCACTTAAGTATTTTTTGTTTCTATGCTTTTGGTTACCAATTAATTTTATGTATGCTGTCACTTCTATGAAAGAAAAAGTATGTATAGTTTGTTCCATTTCATATTTCTGACTTCTTTCACGAATTTTGACATTATAATCTTTACCTTTTTAAAAAAATATATTTTTCCAACATGCATATAAAGTGTACCACATGCATGCAATACCCACAGAGGCCATGAGAACCAAACTCAGGTCCTCTGCAAGAACAGCCAATCCTCCTAACTGCTAAGTCATCTCTCCGGTTCCAGTCCCACCACTAGTTATGTTTTAACTTAATGTGCATATTTGTAATAAGAGAAAAATGGCTAGACATGGCGGTGCACACCTTTAATCCCAGAACTCAGGAGGCAGAGGCAGGAGGATCTCTGTGAGATTGAGGCCAGCCTGGTTTACATAGGAAGTCCAGGCCAGCTGTGGCTACAGGGAGACCCTGTCTCAAAAGTTCCAGTCCCACCACTAGTTATGTTTTAACTTAATGTGCATATTTGTAATAAGAGAAAAATGGCTAGACATGGCGGTGCACACCTTTAATCCCAGAACTCAGGAGGCAGAGGCAGGAGGATCTCTGTGAGATTGAGGCCAGCCTGGTTTACATAGGAAGTCCAGGCCAGCTGTGGCTACAGGGAGACCCTGTCTCAAAACAAAGAGCTCCTCCCAAGCCCATGTGACCCCTGAGGAACAGATCCTCAAATGACCTTAAGTGTAAAAATAAAAATGAAATGCCTCTTCTAATCATTTGGTTATGAACAAAGGAAAGTATAACCAAAGAGTAAAGTCATCAGTATATTTCTTCAAGAGCTCAGGGAGCTGGAGAGATGGCTCAGCGGTTAAGAACACTGGTTGTTCTTGCAGAAGACCTGGGTTCTAATCCCAGCACCCACATGGCAGCTAACAACTGTCTGTAACTCCAGTTCCAGGGGATCCGACAACCTCTTCTGTCCTCTGCAGGCATTGTACGACATGGTTGCACTTACCTACATGCAGGCAACACACACATAAAATAAAAATAATAAAATATGAAAAAAGGAGTTCAAGGGATTACACTTCCCAGATATTAGGCTTAAGTCTATATAAAAAGCTATTTAGACAATTATTTCTCATTGATGATTTTGTTCCTAACCAGAAAGTGCTGCTCAGATGTAAGACTTCAAATCTTGGTCTCCAATACTGTAGTGCCCACCTGTAGCTAAGGGAGACAACCAGCTATTGATCTAAAATGATGGATAAATTTGTTTTCTCCCCCTATCTAGAAGCCTTTGAGAGGGAACTGACACTGATTCTAACCACTCTAACAGCTATCAAAATACCTGAAAGCAAATCCTGAATCCATCACTCTTGAGTCCAGCCTTGGCAGACAAAAGGAAAATGAGGAGGAACCCAATCGAGAGATGCTTTTAGAAGCCCTTGTCAAGAAATTCCAATGGACTCTCATATGAACATTTGAAAATTGCCCTGTTCTGACTTTTTTCTAGTTCCCTGTCTAGAACTTACAATGTTACTCTTGCCTTTATTTCTTCACATCTCCTAGTCACAATTCAAGGGCTTTCTTTTCCCCCTAGAGATAAGAGTTATACAATTTGGGAGTCTTTTAGATAGACCCACTGAAGGGGTACTCCAGTTGCCTCACCCTGCGTCCCTGTTCAGCAT